CCAGCGATCAACCTTTGGTGCAGCATGGAAGCAAGAACTTGGTATCCGACCGGGACTAATGAAATTGAACGGTAGTTTGCTGGGAGCGCGGCGTCACCTGTCGCGAATAAGAATACGACCATTGAGCGGCGCCACGACTCTGCAGGTGCTTCTCCCGTTCCCAAAACATGTGACAAACGCGAACCAGGATGCCGCTAGCCAGGTCGTCATCGGCCACTGCCTTCCAAAAATCAGGCGGCACGTCGTCTGGCCCGGCCGCCTTCCCAACCTTGAGCCTGCCCAGCGTTCGCCGGAGTTCAACCAGTACGAACAAACCAGAGTCGATTGGCAATGCAGGCCCAAGCGGCACGTCACTTGCCCGACTCGTGCCTTCAAAACGTCGATGCCATTGCACGTGCTCGAAATAATATGCCACGACGTTCGCCCTGCCCGCCGTGTCACTCAGACTACCGTCAGGCTTTTTGATTGGGGCATGCTTGAAAGGCCCGGATTTGCGAAGGTACTGGGTTGCTTCCCAGCTCCCTCCGCGAGTAAACTCATCCAGCCACCTTTATCGGTCTTCGTTGCTGGATTTCCCGATGAGTTCGTGGACAAAGCGTTCGCCCTCGTAGTCGGGAGCCCTTCGGCACGCATCCCGGTCCGAGATCAATTGCAGCGTAGCTCGGCTGGTCTATGGCCGCCTGGCCGTGGCGCCCCCGTCAGTAATCGCGTCGGCAACATAAGCGAAAGCGGCTCGAAGATCCTCTGCGGCATCGTCCAAGGAGCCTGGCTGGGCAGAAGATGTATCCATAAACCTCCGTGTGAACTCAGAACAAACACGCTGGTGCTGGAGAGCCGTTTTGTCCACTGATTTCTTGCGCGCCCGGGCCTCCGTGTTGAAATTCACGCTGGCCTCGACGATCGTGCGGAAATGGTGGCTGTTCAAGGCGCATGCCCGGCTCGTCCAACAACTCGTGATCGTAGACAGAGCGCCCCAGTGACATAGTGCATGGTCTATCTGAGCAAAACTCTCCGGCGATATTGCTTCCATGGGGCGCGTCCCAAGACTACGATACGAAACCTGCATATCGGGAGGGTTGTCGAAGTAGGTGATCGCGACGATGACCTCGCACGCCTCGAAACATTCGAATGGAAGCCGCATATTCGAAGTGGTAGGATCCTGGCCGTCGTGCAAGGCAGCCGCCTTGAACACATGTGGTCCGATGATGTCGCCCTCGGACGCTCCCACGTGACGCAAACGAGCATTGAAATCCCCGAAAGCGTACGTGATGTTGTGGTCCGTAGTCGGCCGGACGAGCTCCTCCAGGTCGTTGAAGAAATTCTGCCGCTTCTCGAAGTCGTGCCCAGAATGGGGTGCATAAGCTGACAGAAGTGTCAAAATGCCCCCGTGCAGTCGCATACGAAGAGTCTCCAGACGATCGTGATGAGCTTTAAAGGCTACGACGGCGGAGCGCACCCGAAGGAATCGGAGTGGTTGGTTAAGGAATCCTATGGAGCGTCGAGGACCATCTTCTTCATCATCATCCTCATCAACATCAGCATCGTCTTCATCATTATGCTGCGATCTCCGGGAAAACGTTTATTATCCCCCAGGACGCCGAACTGTATCATCCCACGGGGATTGATGTCAGAAGCACAGGGTCAATGTCGTCTCTTGAACAGCCTAATATCTGCTCTTTTTGATTATGGTGCAATCACCCCCTGGGCAAGTGAGGCAGTCACGTGATCTCGTGGTGAACATGTCGGCTGGTAGCCAGCAGCTTGACTGGTGATGCTCATGTTTAGGATGCGATGGTCGATACAATACGCAATCGTTCTGACCAGTGATATGGATCTTCAAGTGTGGTCCCAAGTTGAACCTTGGAGAACATGTACCTGATAACGTGGTTGTCTATGATGCTGTCCGTCTAACTGAAATGCGGAAACACTGAGGTATGCAAACCGGCCGAGGCGCGCTAATTGTTTACCTCGAGAGCAGCATGCTATAGCTGCAGTGCATGTTTCCACTTCGTCGCTGTCTGCGACGACAAGCATATGTATAACATAGGCGGCGGCAGTGAACTGAAGCGAATGGAACTTCGAAAAATAACTCAAGACGAACAGATGTTTTCCTCCTCCTCCTCCTCCTCCTCCTCCTCCTCCTCCTCCTCGTCGCCCTCCATATCGTCCAAGTCAACTCCTCCTCGTCCTCTTGCGGGTGGGCGGGGCGGCCGGCGGACCACGAAGGCGGCGCTGTGGGCCGTAATCGATTTCCATCTCCGACGGCGGGGGCGGTGCGAGCGCACGACGCCGAAGGGCAAGCGCGGAGGGGGGAGAACACACAGAAGTTCTTCTCACCATCGTCGGCCCCTTCATGGGCCTCAGGTGGCCTCAAGGAAACCAACCAAAGGCCTCTGAAGATTCGGCACCAGTCCTGATCACGTCGGCCATCGCCAGCACGTTCCACAGGCCGCGCGGCTGTCGGCCGGGGAGGTCAAAGGCCATCATCACGAACGCGTTCCTGGTCGCGGAACGGCCAGAGCAGGGCCAGGAGGACACAGAGGAAGGCGAAGAAAAGAAAACGCGGACGAGGTATAGAAAGAGGAGGAGGGGGAGGAGGGGGAGGTAAGAGGAAGGGGCGAGGAAGACAGGAGGATGAACACGGAGAAACACGGAAATCATCGTGAACGCATTCCTGCTCGCGGGGGCTCGACCACCAGGGAACAACCAGTGGAGGCAGGAGGTGGCAAAGGAAAAAGAGACGGGGAAACAGAAGCAGACAGGGAAGCTAAGGGGATTTCCTCTCCCCCCTTTCCTCCATCACAGGAACACATCCTTCTAAAAAGACAGGAGGATGATTCCCAAAGGGATTGGAAGCTTCTAAGAAGGCTTCGTAAAAAAAGGCGGAGGAACTTCTAAGGCTGATTCTAAGGTGCCCTCATACTTCCTAAAACAAAACGCCCCCTCCCCCGCGCCTTCCCCTTTTCCGCCGTCGACTCACTCTCCTCATTCCCCGCTCGTCATTTTCCCCAGCCGTGTCCCCAAACTTCCCCAACCCCGTCCCCACCCCCCCACCCCTTCAGCCCCCTCGATGTCCCTCTAAATCCTCCATCACCACTCCTCCCTTCCCTCATGCCCCGTCCTCAAGTCCAGCACCCCTCCCCCGTCCCGCAGGCATCGCACTCGGACTTCAAGAGGGGTCGATCATCGGTTTTGCACGGGCCCGTTCGCCCCGAGAAGACGCTTGTTTTCAAGGAGACGCGTCTCTTTTGAGAAACACATGTAGCAGGCATCGCACTCGGGCCTCCCGAGAGGGGATCTCGACGGGGTATTGCAGGGGCCCGTTTGCCCTGAGATTGGTGGAAACTCGGAGGAGGAACGCATGCTTGTGACATACACGTGTCCACGTCATTGCCCCCTTCGTCCCACTCCTCCTCCGGCCCAGAAACCTCAGGATGCTCCACAAGTCTTTCCTATGAGAATCGGGGCAAAATGACAAAGGAATTAAGGTATCGTGTTCACTCTGCTCAGTGGTAGAGGGTACGAGATGAGACATCGATAAGACAAGTAAACGGTAAGCAAATGTACTCTACCAGGAGTTGTAAGTGAGGAGGCCGGCCGGCCGACGACGCGAGCACGACGAGGGGGCGACCCCTCGGCGCGCGCGTGCGAGCCAGCACGCTCCTTTGATCTCCTGTACGCTCACGCGTAGCTTGAGTACAACACAGCTGCAGATAGTCACGCAGTGCGCAGCAAATCAAGCGATGTGAAAAGCATTTTGAATACGAGGCGGAGAGGAGCATATTTACTCCCCCCGCGGCGGGCCTCGTAGCGAACCCCTAAAACTTGTACCGCTCAAAGGTGGCCACCAGGGGGCTAAGGGCCGAAGAGGCCCAACGACTCCCACTATTAGATGAATAAGTTCTGTCCGCCGATTCGGCTTCACCGATCGGCAGAACTGCTATACTCGCCCGACGCGATTTCGTCGCGCGGCGAGAACTCTCTGGCCCGCGCCTGCAGCGACTAAGTCACGAAGGCCGGGCTCAATCCAGGTCCTCGAACGGGCTGTAGCCCCCCGTCGGTGGCGTCGGAGGCCTCGGGTTCGATGGCGCCGAGCCTCCAGTCTGTCCCTCGCCGCCGCGAGGCGAGCGGGGCCTTCCTTTGCCGCGGCCAGCGTAGTACGCTGTTCTGCAGTGCTTGTCTTTGTACTTGGTCGCCCCCCCCCCCCCCTTCGGCGGGAAGCGATGCTCGCGTTCAGCCAGAGACAGGGCGCGCCGCAGCTGCGACCGCCAGACATCGCTGGACAGCCACCAGATTCGATCCCTATGGACGTAGTATCCGACCTCCACATCGTCTGTGCATTACGGGTAGGAGACGAGCGGGTCGTAGCCAGCAGCGCCGCGGCCGACGTCCATGGCTCCATCGCGCGCGCGCTGGGGCCTCGACCAATCCCGTGTGTCAGGATACCACGAATATTCTTCTCTTGCCGACACGGCTGCGCCGGCGGCAGGGCATGGGGATTCGGTGATTTCGCCGCCAGCCCGAGCGTCTGAGACGTCGGGTCTGCGTGGCGGAGGTGGCGGTAGCGGTCTCGCTTTCGCCGCGTCCTGTGGCCGTCTCGGCCCCGCCGAACCAGCTGGGCTGTCGCGGGGCTCATTGGCACTTCCGCTCTCACGAACACTCTGCTCTCGATCGCGAAAGAACTTCAGCAAAGTCCTAGCAGCTGTAGCTACTGGAATGCCAGATTTACCGCATGCAGTGCGGAACCCGCCTGCGTCCTTATCATGGAGCTGCGTGCTGGCATCTACGCACCTGTTTTGAAGCCAATAAATGGCCTCCTGTAACAGTGAGCCCTGGCGACGAATGTCGGTTCGCACCTGTCTACCTGAATTACGAGCCCACTCTTCTATGAGGTCGCCCGTCTGAACTGCAGCGCGGGTGCGACAGTCGAGGGCATATGCGCCCCTCCGTCGCTTATAATTAGCATCATCTGCGCCCCCTCCCACGGAGCGAATTGTTCGCCCCGGGTAATCAACAAAATGTCCATCTGAAATAAAGGAGCTCATGATCTCGCGAACGATAGCAACCACTCTGATAATGCGAAGACCAAGTTGAATTTGTTGTACAGGGGCCATCCAGTTCCCTTCAACTATGATCTTCACGATAGGTGGGACTTCGTGTTCTGTTTCCCCTGACAGTCGCAACCTGTTGGGAACATTGGTATTTGAGCGAACACTCGTGTATTCAATGACGCATTGTGCCGTTATCGCTCTAGCCTCAATCCCGTGCACAAAAATGTTTATTGAACTGTCCTCGCAATGTTTATATGAATATCAGTCGGGCAGATTAAGGTTGATCGCCCCTTCAGTTATCAGCGTGGCCTTTAGGCCCGCTGAGGGCTGCGAAGTCAAGTGCGATTTGCAAGTCTGCGTCTGCCGTCGCGGCTTCGCCGGAGGCAGCTTGCAGCGTCGGTGCTATGAGACGATGGTCGCGACACTGGTTTGTTCGTCTAGTGATAGAACGAGAGTCACGACTCGGTCTCGCCTCCAGGCTGTTTTCCCAGGCAGCCGGCAGACGTCCGCGAGGGCTTTGCCCTGCGGCGTCTGCGGCATCGCCCTGCGGCACAGGCGTCCACGGTGCTCCCATGGCTACCGCATTGGCTATCGTTTGAAGTGTCGGGACGAAAATGTTTTGCCTGGTCATCGTGGGCTGCCGTCTCTCCCAACCGTTCATCGGTTCGTGGAGGTCGTCTCGCTGATCTGGCCAGTCGAAGGCTGCCAGAGCTGGGCAAGACATTGGGCGCGCATACTGGTCGATATCTGTCTTCCAAAGCATGGGCCACCATACCTGAATTGGGGGGACTTGGGTCCTCGCTCTCGAAGCCGAGAATGCGAGCCATTCAATGAACCTCCGTTTCAAGGGCTCCAAATACAGGAAGAAAGGGCCATGACGCGCCGGCGGCTGAGCCGCGGCGTTCTCTGGAACCCAAGCACGGAAGTTGCCTGGCTGGCTATTCCCAAAGATCTGACCAGCAGCGGCCATTCGCGTGAATGCCATCTGCCCACTTGCGTTCCTGCTGTTGATTACTGCTGATATTTCTTATCACAGTCGCAGAGGCTTTCTCTTGCCTTCTCGTACGCGTACCGATCCATTCAGCACGCGTAGTGGGAAGATTATCAAGGTCGTTCATATGTAATTCAAATCCATTTGCCGCAAGGGATGTCGGAATGACCTGTCTGTTCCACGTCTGGGCCATATAGTCGTGAGCGACTCTATGTTTGCATTTGATCCGACACTTGCAAAATGGACGGTGTCCGAAGCCCGTGCGCACCCAGTGGAATTGGCAGCGCAAAAACCTACCGTCGTCCGCCCAGGGGACAGACAGAACACGTTCTTGCGCCTCGGGCGGCAACTGGGGCTTGTGATTTGGGACCAACGATAGCGTCTCATCAGTGCGAATCCAAGCGATCACTGATTCGTTGTCAAAAGTCACTTCGTACGAGGCCCAGTCATGGTTGAAAACAACGGGCCAGAACATGTGCTGTGTTCCAATATCCGCTGGGTTTCCAACTCTAACAAGAGTTACGGCCTTGTCGATATCAGTGAACCTCGGCACCTTTCGAGACACGAGGGTCCCGCGCTGGAAAATTTTACGCGTGAAGCGAGTGAGTACTCGGCCAGTGAAAACAAGAATTAGTGGCCAGGAATCTCTATGGTTGGGGAGCTTGTCCCATAGATGGACTGTGTCCTCTGCGGGCTATGTCCCAACCGTTGGCGGCTCTCCTTCTTGTGCGTTGTGGCCCATAGACACAAAACGCCTTGGAAGGGCGAGCCCCCCATACCTCCGCTGGCTGAGCCACGGAGGGACACGCGTTGCATCGGGCATTGTTGGGCTCCTCTTGGTTGGAAGCAGCCTTAGCCATGCATTGTCTGCTTCAAGGCATCGCCCTGAATCTTTCTTCGGAAAGCGTACCCTTCCATCTGTAGGTTCTAGGAACGTCTGCATGTCTGCGGCATGGAGAAAGGACCCGTGACTCCTGGCTTGGCCAGGGTCATATGGGACGTACATTCTTTCAATGGAAGCAACAAAAATGGAATGTCCCTGGCATACACGATAGAAAACGGGTATGGCAACTGCCCTCCTCACTTGTATCTGCGAGGGGCAGGCCTTGTAACTTTGCAACATGTTGTAAACGCTCGTTCCACTGATGTGATCGCTACCTTCAGGGACTACTCCAAACAATTCCGGTGTCTCTGGCTGCAACGCGGCTAAGCCGTGTGCTGCGAGAGCAGATGAATGGTAACTTAATCCGTCCTCGGCAATCTTCTGTACTAGGTCTCCGAGATAAACCCAGCCACCCGATGATCTCGCATAGTCCGAGCAATGCCTCGCGAGATATGCCGCGCACTTACCGATGTGCTCAGCAAGCTTGTCAACTCGGCAGCTCTGGGGTCTCCAAGATCCCGCGCTGCCTAAGGCAGCTGGATTATTGCGATCGCCGGCCCCTGCTACCAACGGTT